CTTTACAGCATCCCCACCCAAAGCCCCCAGTGAGTAAGCCATACGCGACAGTGGCAAGGAAAAACTCCCTAGAAGGAAGAAACCTTGGGAGGGGGCAGTCTCAAAGGGGGGGCCCATCCTCCAGGGGCCGGCAGGGAGAGTCAAATACAGGAAATTTTGAGAGACAAACGGGGAGGGGGGGTTACTTACGGTCTCCACATGGTTTTCACTCATGATGCGACTGTAGTTCTGGTGAATGTAGCGTTCCTCCCAGTCCTGACAGACACACAGCAAGCGAGGTGCATCAGACGTTAGGGACAGACATGCACAGCAGACCAGCAAATACTATCCAGCACATGTACACTTTGCTACTTTTTGTAATAAGCAGTAGTAGTAAATGTATACATTTTATTTCAGAACTGAGTGCGTAATACTTGAATCGATATTTATAGTCCAGTCGCCAATATTCCATGCAAGTCCACTTGATGTTTTGTTGCCCTAAATCCCAGTATGTCCCAGAATGGCTACAGAAGGCCCTACTACTCACCACAGGGTTCTCGAATATCTGCCATAGGTCGTTGTGTAGGTGCTGGGTCTGGTAGTTCTCTGTGGAAACCACTCGTCCGAACTCTTGCCTGTTGGTAACGAACATGAAGACTCCCTGCAGGAATGTAAGCAAACCCCTTTTAAAAACGATGTTAATAAACAACCATCTAGGAGTGTTTCCCAACCCAGCCCTCGGGAAACCACAGATGGTCCATGTTTTTGCTCCCTCCCAGCTCCCTGCCAGATAGTCCAGGGAGGAAAAGTGCAGGTCATCTGGGGGACCCAAGGACTGAGTTCAGAAACACTGCCACAAAACTGAAGGCATTCCCAATAAAAAAAAAAAAACACTGCACTTTCCTAATTCAGTGAAACTCACGAAAACCATAGAGAAGTCAGATTAGCAACAAAAATAACTCAGTGTTGTTACATAATGCATCACTCCTGACAGGTTCGTCCAGCTTTGTCGTGTTTGGGGGGGGGCAGAGCTGGACACGACCATCCCTGTGTATAAAGTATGGCTGGCAGCCAAGGGGGACCCTGATCACTGCCGACTCTGAAGGAACTTCTCCCATCCCGTTTCCCGTAATTCCGGGTCACACTTCTCTTTTTGTTCGCTTATGTGTTTACGTTAGTAGTTTCAGGCTGAAGTAAAGGTCTTTTACA